TAAGCCCCACAATGCAGTTTCAGTTTGGGAAGATGAATAGTGGTGATGGTTGCACAACAATGTGAATGTACTTAATGCCACTGAACTATACACTTTAAAATGGTTGAAATGGTGTTAAAAAAAAAAAAGCTCCGATTAAAAATATAAAGGCATTTCATACACAGAATTAACACCATCTTTAAATACACAATACCAAAATGGAAACCCTGAAAGCTCTAAATCAGTAATTCTAGGTTCAGATACGCATGAGAGGAGACAAGAAAGGGGATGGCAGAGAGGTCGCCTCTCTGCAACCACCAACAAATACCTAGACTTTACATTCGCCCTGTGGTTCTCAAGGTGGCAAAGAGCTAGTCAGTCTCAAGTTTTTCCTTAGTTGAGCTGCTGTTTGGGTTGCAGAGAATCAACAGGAAGGGAGAGAGAGAGGGAGAAATCTTCCTCCTCAAAACAACCAAAAAGGGCTGGGCTCTGCCGGGCCGACAGCCGCCGCCAACCGGAGCTGCCCTAGCCCTTGGGAGCGGCTGGAGCCACGGTGCCGCTGCAAAGCCAGCGCTGCGGACAGAGCGTCTGGCCGCGCGGCCCACCCGGGGGGCGAGCTCCTAACTCCCAGGGCCTCCTGTGGCTGCGAGGCGGGAGCAGCAGCTTCTCCCGCCAGCCTCGCGGTCTCTCCGCTTCCAGGTTCAATAAGGATTACATCATGGAGCAAGTATGCGGGGCAGCCTGAGAATCAAAGCCGTCACAATCAGCGGCTGGTTAACTGTACTGTTGCTGAAACACATCCTTCCCACCCCCTCCTCTCGCCCCTCTCCCCACCCCAGCCCTCTGCTTTTCGTACTATTAAGGATAGCATTATTGGGGAGAGGAAAATCTGATCAAAACTGTCGGCCGCCAACGGCAGATTTTCTATGGATTCTATAAAGGCCACCTTAACGATTTCCCTAATTAATGGATGACATCTTTGGCTGAAGGAGAGGCGATGGATTCGACTCTGTCTTCGTCTTTGTTAACCTTCTAATTAACTTTCGTAGGTCACCCAGGTCTCCCAAACCTAAAAAGTGAAGAGGCCCATTGTGCGAGGAGCAGTAAACTTACTTTTTCTGCTAGGGTACTTAAAAGGGAGAACGATTATAGGCCGAGAAAAATAACTCCATTTAAAAGCTTTGTGGCCACAGATAATGCATAGGTCCTTCCCTTAGAAAATAATTGAAACACCTTTTATACTAATATTTCTATGCATAATAAAAACAAATTAGCAAAATGCATCTAAATTCAGCGGCACTTTCAAATTACCTTTTTTGGAATGTAAGCCTCTACAAGTCAACAAAAGGAGCGGGGGTTTAGAGAGAACATTGCAGTTGCAACAGCTATCAGCCTTTATGCAGGCTGAGTGCAGGACTGTGCTGGGCTTAGATATCTGAGTCACCTCCTGGAGGAAATGCTTCACATTTACTGCCCTTGCCCAGGCCAGGGATGAACTGCCAGGAGGACCCAAAGACTATTAACAAGTAAGCAGGTCTTTTTCTGGCCAGAGTGGTTTTGAGGGTTCAGAAATATTTTAATGGTCTTAGTGAAAACAGAAACCACCATGGTGGAAAAGCCAGAAAGCAAGGTGAAACCCACCGTGAGCAGTGAAATTGATAAAACAGAACAATTTTTTAAAATGTAAGACATGTTCCTGTTGGAATTTTCATTTTGGTAGATTTGATAGGCTATGCAGATGTGTTGTGGTTTCTGTCCCAGCTCCACAGCACCTCTGACCAAGCAGAAGTGACACTGAGGGAAGAGCAGGTGCTCAGCCTAAAATGGCACCAAGACCAAGGCTCCTTTAAAGGAGGGCTTTGCTGAAAGGGAATGAGATTCCTAACCCAGGGATTACAGTAGTGTGACTTTAGTATTGTTTTCTGATTATAAACAGAACCAGAGCTAATTGTAGAAAAGTATAGACTTAAAATACTCTCAATATTTCAATTATGTAGTTCCATTTTTTCTTCTGTACATCCCCAAATTTTTACACAGTTGATATTTGTACTCTTATTTTTGTTCCTTTAGTACCATAGCATTAGATTTTTCTCTGTGTTATTAAAAATGGGAACAAGATCCTTTGGGGGTTCTGCCTGCATACCCAGATTGAAGGTACAGGGGGCAACTCTATGACATCTCTCTTCTAGAAGTCTGCCACCTGTAGGAAAACAAGTGCTCTCATGCATTGCGGTGGGAGTTTAAATTGCCACAACCTCTCTGGAATAGAGAGCAATTTGGCATTATTTATGAAAATTACAAAAACATACATACTTTGATGCAGCAATTCCTCTTTAGGAAACTTCTCTAAAGATATACTTGCACAAGTGCAAAATGACATACGTATAAAATTATTCTTTGCAGCACTGTTCATAATAGAGTGAAAGCTATCTAAATGTCCATCAACAGCGAACTAGTTAAAGAAATATGGTACATCCATCCAATGGAATATTATGTAGCCGTAAAAATAGATGAGGATGCTCATTATATGCCAATTTGGAATGGTCTCTAAAATAGCCTGTTAGGTAAAAAACAAACAAATAACAATAACAAAATGGAGCAGAACAGTGGTGTAAAGTATGCTACCATTTGTAGGGAAAGGTGTGGTTTGAATAGCCATAAACATTTTCTTCTAGTAGCAATTGTCTTGGGAAAAGAGACCTGAGTAGTTGAGAACAGCTATGTGAGGGGAGACTTCACTATAACTTTTGTACCTTTTGAATTTGTACTGTGTGAATATACTACTTATTCAAAAGTACATAAATTTAAGATTAAAAAATAGAAAGGTTGCCATTTTCCAGTCTGCTCTATGCACAGCTCTGTACAATTCAAGGCTAGCCCAGTTGTAAAAGCGTCCTAGTCATTTCTGGATACTAAATATCTTATTTTAGACTTCTCAAAGTCTTCCTACATCAAAAGACCCCTAAAATGGAAGGTACACAGTCTTTAAAATCTTTAAATGTTTTTTAATGAAAATATAATAATGCATTCTGTGATTTAATTGTTCAAAATTAAAATTCAACCATTAAGTCTGTATAAATAAAACATTCACAGGCTTCATCAGCATGTGCATTGGGACAAATGCTTTGGGCCTCAGAATTGTGGAAATATTTCCTAATGCTTGAGATGTGCCAAGAAAGAGATAAAGAAATCAAATAAAACCATATACTACACGAATTCTTCTTGCTCACAAGAGTCTGATTTACTTGTATCAATCAATTTAAGTGACTCATACTTTATGAGCTATTTTAAGTGATTGAACTAAAACCTGGAGCCAATGTTATCCTCTCCCCACTCCTCAGACCAATCTGTCAAAATGGCATTGGAAATTATTAGGCTGAACCATATGAAATTAGTGTATCAGTGGTCCTATAGCAGCAATTTAAATATTCAATTTAATATTGTTCATCACCATAATGTTGTAGCCTGTAGCTACATAACAGAAACATTGTCATAGTTGTCTGTTCAACATCCATTTCTCCCTTCTTCCTTGTTAGCAGAACTCCCATTTAATTCCCATTTAGGAAAGTAGTAAATCTCTATTCAACTAACTATATACATGAAATTCCTGTTTCTTTTGCCTGTAATTGGTTAAGATTTGAGCATATGATACAGTTCTAGGCCAATGAGATTAAGTAAAGACAATTAGAAGTTTCTGAGAAAGATTTCTCTTCCACTGAACATTCTCAGGCCCAGATGGATTGTCCAGAATTCCAGCATCCATTTTGCTACTACAAAGCGTGCAGATAAATGGTCATGCTAGGGTGACACAATAGAAAAAAGGAAAGAAATTGAATCTCCATGGTAGTACTGAGTGGTTGTATTAAACAACTGTGTAATCCGCTGACCTTGTACCTCTTGTTATATGAAATGATAATTTTCTTTATTGCTTAAGCCATTTTGAATTGATTTTCTGTTACATTCCAAATATAAGTAGACCATCCTGGCAAATATTTTCTGCACTTTAAATGGTGTGAAGCCCAGGTAGTATCTTGTAAAGGTTCCTCAAGTAGTTCTGTTGCACTCCTCTAATCAAAATCACTTTAAATCATAAAAATAAATGCCTCCTCAATATCTTTAGTCATTAGGGAAATGCAGACAACAATGAGATACCACTTCACACCCACTAGAATGGCTATAATCAAAAAGATGGATGATAACGAGTGTTGGCAATGATGTACATTGCTGTAAAAATATAAAATGGTGCAGTCACTTTGGAAAACAGCTTGGCAATTCCCCCTAAAAGTTAAACATACAGTTACCATATAACCCAACAATTCTACTCTTAAATATAGATTCAAGAGAGTTGAAAACGTAACATCCACGTAAAAACTTATATAGGAATGTTCATAGCAGCATTATTCATAAGACAAAAAGTAGAAGCAACACAAATGTCTATCAACTGATGAATGGATAATTAAAATGTGGTATATTCATACAATGTAATATTATTTGGCAATAAAAAGAAATGAAGTACTGATGCATGCTACAGTAGTACTGAAGTACTGATGCATGCTGCAACCTTGAAAAAATTATGCTAAGTGAAAGAAGACAGGCATAAAAGGGCACTTATATAAAACATCCAGAATAGGCAAATCCATAGAGACAGAAAGTGAATTAGTGATTTCTAAGGGTTGGGAGGGGGAAATGGGAAGTTACTGCTAATGGAAATGGAGTTTCTTTTTGGGAGTGATAAAAATATTCTACAATTTGAGAGTGTTGATGAATGCACAACTCTGTGAACATACTAAAAATACTGAATTGTACATTTTTTAAGGGTGAACTTTATGGTATGTCAATTATATCTCAATAAAGCAGTTATGAAAAATTCAAAAAACAAATGCCTCCCATAATTATAATTGTTTTAAAAGATCCCAGAGTTACTATATAACTAAGAGCCTACCTTCAAAAATATATATGACCAATTTGTTGAAAGAAAGACTATTCTTAATCTAATTAGAGCTCCATTTTTTTTTTGGCAGTCATTTAAGCAAAACGTAAGTGAAGAGTCTAACTCCCAGGAGGACTTCATAAGAGCAGTATCCCCACCTGTGTCTTGGTACCAGCATATCCAGCTGGACTACACACATTACAGAATATGTGAGTGGTGCATTTTCTTATGAACAATTCTGGGACTCTGGGCTTGCTTCCTAAAATAGGTTTCTGTTTAATTGTCTGTAAAATGGGGCTAGAGTAGTAACTACCTTATAGAATGGATGTGAGGATTAAATGAGATAAAGGAGCTCATTAAAACTTTGCAAAGTTCTGGGACATATTATGAGTCAACAAGAAGCAGTCATTGCTGTTTTGTTTTGTTATTGTTATTAGTATTATTACTATTATTGTATTTTGGGACCTTAAGTCCACTCATCACAAGACACAGAAATTTCTCACCAGCTGGCATGAGCAATTCTTAGTGATTATTTTTAAACTATGTATTTGTTCTTATTATAAAATCAAAGAAGGGACTAGCAATTTTCAGATTCTGCAACAAAAATGATTGGAAATTCAGATTTAGCAATCATAAGATTTTATAACAGTCTATGGGTACATGAAAAAAATCCACAAAAGCATAATAGATTTAAATTTCTATAAATGATCTAGTCTGAAACATCATTTTATTAAACTTCTACAATTTTTTTAAGTTAATCTATTAAGCTTAAAATACCAGAGGTCTTAAATTAACTTTAGGTCAGCTTTCAGCTTCTGTTATGAGTTTTTAAATTTTCTCCTTCATCTCCCACCCTCCCCACTTATCCATTTAAAACATGCACCTTATTTGAGTGCAATGTTTTTCACTTAGTGTGAAGTTTAACATACGTTGATAGGATACAGATTGAGTCAACAATTGTTTTGGGGTAGGTAGGAGTGTGCTGGAGGCCAAACTCTAGTCCTCCCATCTTACACAGGGAAAAGTTTAGGTAAGTGATTTATCCAGCATCACATAACCTGTTAATGGCACTTTGAAAGGAAAATCCAGGACAAGGTGCTTTTTTTGACTGCTGCTACATGAGGTCCCTCCATCATATAACACATGAACAAACAATGGACAAGCAGCAAAACATTTCCCCTAGCCATGACATCATCTATTATAAGAAAGAATAAACATAAGGAAAATGGAAAGTGCATGATTTTTAAGTGCATTCTTCCAGGTTTCAATCCAGATTTTGATCATTTATATGTTTACAAGTTTCCATTAGGTCAATATGCTTCATTAATCTTCCTGCTTGCTCTTGTGAGAAAAATCTAATGGTCAGGGAAAAGTGGGAAAGAGATGAGCAAGTAAATGATTTGCCGGAAAGATTAGAAAATCCCTGTTAGAATCAACTCTTTGTATTCACACCAACCCCTAACTATCCATCACTTTACCCAACAAAAACAGAGAGAACAGACAGTAGCAAAGAAATAAGACAGTCTTCTAATACCAGGCAAATGTAGAGTTAGTTATCACCCAGCTGGGCCAGAAATAATGGATGGTAGCCTCACCGTTGCACACCATCCCTAGTATCAGTTCCTTTTCCTTTATTCTCATTACGAGTAATACCCACCTACAAGTGAGAAGATTTTCTCCCATTGTGAAGAAACTTCCCAACAACTAAGTTGGATGTTTTCTTTTCTGAAAGGTTAGATCTCATGTATAGATAGAATTCTCTGTTTTAAAACTTCATGAGGAGAGGGGCCCTGTGAAGATGAATTATTCCTCATTCTCCTCAATTTAATCCCCTCATTCAGTACCCCCTTTACCATTTCTGACTCCTGTCTTCCTTCTCTGTTCTCTCTTTCTATTTTACACTTCCATTTTATTCCTGTCAACTCTTTCCCTTCTCTTTTATCACATCAGTCTTTAGTAGTATATTTAATGTTTCTCACCAAATTGACGAAGCTTTGATTCTGAAATTCTAAAGCCTTGATACTAAATTTACTTTGCTAAACAAAAGATAGGTTTACAGTTAAGAACTTCAAATGGTCTAGCATCCCTTCTCATACCCATTCACCAAAAAAGAAGGCTATATATCTATCTAGAGATATTTTGTAGGTCTTAATTTAGTATACATGCAATTTATGTATACATACACATTAAAGAATCTTCTGGATCTGTGTAAGGGTCTTTGAAGTCTCTTCTAAATGTTAATTTCTCTACTAATCCAGATGCCACTGCTCTTCGTGACATTACAGAGAGGTCACTGAGCACCATCCTTATAACCCTCCAGAGAAGAACAATGGAATGCCAGAGCAGAACGTTTTTTTAATTATTATTACCTAACCCTTTAGTATTCTTTTTTTCTTTTCAAGAAAATCCAGTCAAGTCCTAGGAGGTCTTACCATGAATACTAATTTCTCTCTAGCTCAGTTAGTATTTACCCGCTACGGAGAAACTTATCAATGTATCTGTGTTCACAGATTTACACATTTCCTGTTTTATATGATTATTCCCCAGAGGAAACTACCTTGAGCCTCTGCCTAAACTGATCTTTTTGGCCTTCTCATGATTTTGCAGTTTAAAGAATCACAGCTTTTACAAATGAACTTCCCTCCTGATTTAGAATTCTAAGAGCTCTAACTATAATTAACCTGTATATAAACTATAGGGATTTGGAAGGATAACAAATGTTAGAGACTGTAGCTTTTCAAGCTATGTATTTCACAAACAAAATGCCAGCTTAAATTAGAAGCTGGAAAAATATTTTAGTTTTAGCAAAGCAGATTTTTTAAGTCTGCTAATAAAAAATTCATAAATTCTGGAGGAATTAATCTAAAATATTGATATTTTCCACCCAAATGCATCAGATAATCTTAATTTGTTACTATTTGGTGAGTTTTAATTTTGCTAACATGAAAACAAGTTTTTTGACACTGGAATATCTTATTTAAACATAGTTTTATAGAGTATAAAAGCTCAGTCTTACATACTGTGCATAAGGAAAACCCATTTGTGTTTAAAATAAAAATTTCTCAAGATATTTTAGGTTCTTGCTCTGTACAATGAATTTAAAGATAATTTATGTTCTAAGTATAAAGTTGTTTGTATTTATTATAGAAACTTTGAAAAAATACAAAAGAATATAAAGAAGAAAGTAATTGATAATTCTACTATCCATACCACCACTGTTGATATTTTCATCCAGTCTCTTGACCATGCATATATTTTGAAATTCCTTGTTTAGACTTTCACTGTTCTGTTTTAAGCAATAATGCTGCATGCTGAGGCATGACTTGATTTTTAGCTATAGGGAGGAAAAACAGAAAAACCAAGAAAGAGGAACATGGAGGTTGCAGAAATCTCTTGCTTCCTTTCCTACTGACTGCTGATACTACTCCCCTATGCCTTCCTCCCTTAGAGGCATTCCCTAAAATCCTCAAATAGAACAAAAAAAACTCCCAAATCTGAAAAGCATTATAAGTGAGCCTACTGCTATTCACTATGAAGAAAAGTCAACATTCTATATATGTGGATACCTAGGCAATTTGTGGATTTTTGCATTTCTATCATCATCATCTAAGAAATCATGAATAGCTTTTTTAAAAAGAAGAAAAAAAATCTTTTAAATCACCTGAAAACACCCTTTAAAGTCTAAAATGCATATGACCAGTATTCAGATCCCCTCGCAATGTAATAGTTATTTTCCTCAGTTTGGCTCACTTTATATTTTCAGTTTAAGACACTTACTGAATTTTGGTAAGTTTGAGTAAATAATACAGTTTTCCAGGATAAATTGCATCATTCTTAAGGCAATTAAGTGTATTTTTCCTTTCCTGTAATTTCATATGGGAGAACACATTTGCTACAACCTATAGTACCTATAGTAGCACTACAGGCCTATAGTAAGCACTAGACTGTGAAAACAGCACAGTCTGTCAGCCTCTTAAGAGGATGCTCAGTGTCTCCTTAGACCTACTTTCATTGAAGTCTCCAAAAATGACATCATTGTGCCCTGTGATTGTGCTATCACTTCATCACCATAAATTATAGCGCTGACTATATGTATCTACATTTTCCCATTTCCAGCACTTTGGTGGATTAGATGCTGCTATGGTTAATTTTATGTGGCAGCAGGCTAGGCTGTGGTGCCCAGCATTTGGTCAAACATTAGTCTAGATGTTGCTATGAAGGTATTTCTTAGATGTGGTTAAAGTAGATTTTGAGTAAACCAGATTACCATCATGATGTGAGTGAGCCTCATCCACTCACTTGAAGGCCTTAAGAGAAAAGACAGAGGTCCCCTGAAGAGGAAGGAATTCTGCATCCAGACCTGCTTTGGGAACTCAAAACTGTAACATCAACTCTTGCTGGAATTTCCAGGCTGCTAGCCTGTCCTGTGGATTTTGGTCTTGCCTGCCTCCACAGTCTCTTGGGCCAATTCCCTAAAATATCTCTATAAACATAGACATACACATAATTTATAATGTAACATAATATAATCTCTTTCTCTGGAGAACTCTGACTAATAAAGATACCCTGAATGACAGTCTCAACTAAGATAACTAAAATGCTTGGTAAAATATTTTTTAAATGCGTCACTGAGCTCACACAAAAGAGAGGGATTTTCAGATCCCAAAAAGTAAGTGAAAACAGGAACACTGATAAGTAAGCATGTTCCAAAGCTAGCTTTCACTCTAACAGTTTCCATCAGACTCTGGAGACCCTGAATCTCAACTCTGGGATGATAGTCAGGGATTGCCCATGGTGGGGAACCTGCTAGGAGAATCTCTGTATAAAGATGAAAACACAAAGGGCTACATCATTAGAGTAAAGATAAATTTTTAAAAATGCACCCTGTCCGAAAGAGGGATGCCATAGCAAGGATATTTGCCTATCCTAATGTTGATGCTGGAAGGAAAGAAAGAAAGAGAGAGAGAGAGAGTGAGAGAGGGAAGGAAGGAAGAGAAAGAAAGAAAGGAAGGAAAAAGAGAAAGAAGAGAGAAGAAGAAGAAGAAGAAGAAGAAGAAGAAGAAGAAGAAGAAAGAAAGAAAGAAAGAAAGAAAGAAAGAAAGAAAGAAAGAAAGAAAGAAAGAAAGAAAGAAAGAAAGAAAGAAGAAAGAACGAACGAGAGAAAGAGAAAGAAAGAAAGAAAGAAAGAAAGAAAGAAGAAAGAACGAAC